TGGTGTTCTGTAGGCTTCTTGTACCTTCATTGGCATGTCTTTCTTAAGGTTGGGAAAGTTTTCTTCTATGATTTTGTTGAATATGCCTTCTGCCCCTTTGAGCTGGATTTCTTCTCCTTCTTCTATACCTATTATTCTTAGGTTTGGTCTTTTCATGGTGTCCCATATTTCCTGGATGTTTTGTGTTAAGGATTTGTTGGATTTAAGGTTTTCTTTGGTTGATAAATCCATTTCTCCTAGCGTATCTTCAACACTTGAGATTCTCTCTTCCATCTCTTCTATTCTGTTGGTAATGCTTGTATTGTTAGTGCCTGTCTGTTTGTCCAGCTTTTCTATTTTCTGCCTTTCTTCAGATTGTGTTTTTTTTAATGACTCTATTTCAGTTTTCAACCCTTGCAGTGTTTGCATTGCTTCTTGCAATTTTCTGTTTATCTGTTCGTCCGTTTGTTGCCTTTTATGAATTTTTTGGTTTGTTCTTTCTTCCATTTCTTGCATTTTTTGGTTTGTTTTTTGTTCCATTTCTCGCATTTTGTGCTTTGTTTCTTCTTCCATTTCCTGCCTTTTTTGGTTTGTTTCTTCTTCCATTTTTTTCATTTTTTGCTTTGTTTTTTCTACCATTTCTTGCATTTTTTGCTTTGATTCTTCTTCCATTTCCTGCCTTTTTTGGTATGATTCTTCTTCCAATTCTTGCATTTTTTGCTTTGTTTTTTCTTCCATTTCTTGCATTTTTTGCTTCATTTCTTCTTCCATTTTCTGCCTTTTTTGGTTTGTTTTTTCTTCCAATTCTTGCATTTTTTGGTTTGTTTTTTCTTCCATTTCTTTGAGGGATTTTCCAATATCCTCTTTTAGGGCCTCTATCATTTTCATGAGAGTGCTTTTAAGGTCGTTCTCTTCTGTTTCGTCCGCATTGGAATGTTGGGGTCTTGCTGGTGTGGAGTCTCTAGAATCTGGTGGTGTCATATTTGTTTTTCTGTTGCTGACTGTGTTTTTGTATTGTCTCTTTCCCATCTCTTCTTCTAGTGGGTACAGAAAGAGCCCCTTACTGGTCTGGGGACCAGCGTTCCCTTTTTGGTGGGTGCTAGCAAGTCCAATAATCTGGTGGTTCTTCTATTCCTTGTCCGAATGCTGGTCCTGATGCTGCTGGAAGAACCGCCGCTTCGCTGGACTCCCAGCCTCCTCTCCTTTCCTGGTCTCGTTGGTGTGAGCGAAGATCCGGAGTCTGGGGTGCTTGGCTCCCGCCGGGATTGGGAGCTCTGTGCAGGTCCCAGGGGATCTGCAGGCACTGGAGCACAGGCCAGGAAGCCGGCCTGTTTACCTGATGCTGCTGGAAGAACCGCCGCTTCCCTGTACTCCCAGCCTCCTCTCCTTTCCTGGTCTCGTTGGTGGGGAGAGAAGACCTGGGGTCTGGGTGCTTGGCTCCCGCCGGGATTGGGAGCTCTGTGCAGTTCCCAGGGGATCTGCAGGCACTGGAGCACAGGCCGGGAAGCCGGCCTGTTTACCTGATGCTGCTGGAAGCCCCACTGAGTATTCTTTAAGTTTTTAGCTAACTTAAAATATTTTAATAAGTGCTGCCACCATTGGAGTCTTAGGTCCACCTGCACCTGAGGTGAGTGCAGGACCTTCTCTTACCAACATCACCACCCCCTTGGAGTCTCCTGTACACAGTAGTAGTCCCATCCTGCCCACCAAGTCCCCCAAAAACCTGGGGGCAGACCAAACCATCCAGCTACTACAACCACCGGGAGAGGGAGAGACCCTCACCTGCACCCACTGAAGGAATGGGAAGGCGACAATATAAGAACATATTAAGAAACAGTAAGACTAATATGACACCACCAGAGTCTAGGGATTCTACACCAGCAATACCTGAACATCCCAACGCAGATGAAGCAGAAGAGAATGACCTTAAAAAGAACTTTATGGAGATCACAGAAACCCTCAAAGAGGAAATGAGAAAATCCCTTACAGAAATACAAGAAAAAACAAAAAAATACAAGAAATGGAGGAAAAAGACAAGCCAAAAAATGAAAGAAATAAAGAGATTCAAAGAAAGCAAAGAAAGAAAAAAAAACCAACAACAATTAAACACATGAAGGAAACAAGTCAAACAGTTCAAGACTTAAAAGCTGAAATAGAGATAATAAAGAAAATACAGACTGAGGGAATTCTGGAAACAGAAAAATTAGGTAAATGATCAGGAACTACAGATGCCGGCATAACCAACAGAATACAAGAGATGGAAGAGAGAATCTCAGGCATTGAAGATACACTAGGAAAAATAGTTAAACCCAACAAATCCTGAACACAAACTATCCAGGAAATATGGGACACCATGAAAAGAACAAACCTAAGGATAATAGGTATAGAAGAAGGCGAAGAAACCAAGCTCAAAAGTACAGAAAACATATTGAACAAAAGCACAAGAAACTTACAGAATATGAAATAGACCGGACCACAAAAAAGTCCCCTTGCTACATGATAATCAAAACATCAAATATACAGAATAAAGAAAGAATATAAAGAGCAGCAAAGGAAAAAGGCCAAGTAACATACAAAGGCAAACCTATCAGAATTACACCTGACTTCTCAAGGTCCTGGATAGACGTTCTAAAAACACTAAAGGACCATGGATGCCAGCTCAGACTACTATACCCAGCAAAGCTTTCAATCACTATAGATGGAGAAAACAAGACATCCCATTAACAATACATATCCACAAATCCAGCCCTACAGAAAGTACTGGAAGGAAAACTCCATCTCAAGGAATTTAACTACACTCACAAAACATAAGCAATAACAGATAATCCCACTTTACCAAAATCAAAAGAAGGAGAGGGGGATGAAATCCACACACAATACCAACAACAACAACAAATGCAAACAAGTAAGAATCAATAATTAATGGTCATTAATAACCTTCAATATTAATGGTCTTAACTCACCTATAAAAAGACACAGGCTAACAGAATGGATATGAAGACAGAATTCATCCTTCTGCTACATACAAGAGACACACCTCAACTTCAAGGACAGAAGCTACCTCAGAGTAGTTGGGAAAAGATTTTCCAATTAAATGGACACAAGACACAAGCGGATGCAACTATCCTAATATTTAACAATTCTCAATAGAGGAATCTAAAATGACTGACAGGCACTTAAGAAATTGCTCGACATCCTTAGCCATCAGGGAAACGCAAATCAAAATAACTCTGAGAAACCATCTTACACCTGTCAAAATGGCTAAAATCAAAAACACCAATGACAGTTTATGCTGGAGAGGATGTGGAGAAAGAAGAACACTCCCCCACTGCTGGTGGGAGTGTAAACCTATACAGCCACTTTGGAAATCAGTATGACAATTCCTCAGGAAAATGGGAATCAGTCTACCACAAGATCCAGCAGTTCTACTCTTAGGCATATACCCAAAGGATGCACATTCATTCCACAAGGACATCTGTTTAACTATGTTCATAGCAGCATTATTTCTAATAGTCATAACCTGGAAGCAACTTAGATGCACCTCAAACGAAGAATGGATATTAGACATAGAGCAAAGTATAACCAGCCTACAATCCACAACCCCAGAGAAGCTAGGAAACAAGGATGATCCTAAGAGAGACATACATGAACCCCTGGAGAAGATCTCCTGAGCAAATTGGGAGTGGTGGGGGAGAGAAGCAGGGAGGATAAAGGGGAAGGGGGAGGAGAACATGAAGGATCAGGAAGATCAAGTTGAGAAAAGAATAGAGGAGAGCAAGAAAGGAGATACCTTAATAGAGGGGGCCATTATAGGTTTAAAGAAAAATCTGGCACTTGGTTGACCCCAACTAAGAATCTAAGCAATAGTGGAGATTCTACCTTAAATGCCCTTCCCCTATACTGAGATTGAGGACATCTTAAATCCGATCCTAGAGTCTTCACCTAGTAGCTGATGGAAGCAGAAGCAGAGATCCACAGCTAAGAACTGACCTAAACTCCTGGAATCCAGTTGTAGAGAGGGAGCAGTGATGAACAAAGGGGTCAAGACCATGCTAGGGAAACCCACAGAAACAGCTGACCTGAGCAAGTGAGATTGTATGGACCCCAGTCTAACAGCAGGGAACCAACATAGGAACAAACTAGGCCCCCTGAATGTGGGTGTCAGTTGGGAGGCCAGAGCAGTCTATGGGGCCTCTGACAGTGGAACCAGTATTTATGGGCTCATTTCCCATGGAGGAATACTCTCTCAACCTAAATACACAGGGGAGGGCCTAGGCCCTGCCCCAAATGATGTGACAGACTTTGATATCTTCATGTGAGCCCTCCCCCTCCCTTGGGAGTGGATGGAGGGTGGGATGGTGGGCTAGTGGGGCATGGGAGGACAGGAGGGAGAGGGAACTGGGATTGGTATGTAAGTAAGATTATTTTTTGAAAACAATTTTAATAAATACAGAAAATTTTAAAAATTTGTTTTAGAATAGCCATTTAAACATCAATCACCTGGACTAGTAACTACACTTGTAATCTTAGTTGATGCAGGAAAGCAACAACAAAAAAACCATTTGCAAAATTTTCACCAGCTCATAAGGTATACCAATAGGTTGATAAACTATCAGTAGAGACAGGTGCAAATCAAAGATGCTAATATTCCCTTTTAGAGATGATAACATGTAACAGTGAGAACACAAGTCTACAAAAATTTGTAAAGAAAAATCAAGTTCAGCATTCTTACAAATACAAACTAAATATTTTGCTTATATATTTTTATAACAGCAAAAGAATATCACTGAGTAAAAACAACTATCTGATTTCTATAAGACCTGTAGGCTAAACATATGAACAAACACAATTCTCAGAGAAAATTACTATCCTTTCCCTATCCTTCCACATGTAAGGAAACACATGTGGAAATACATGCCTAATTTACTATATGTTCGCTGACAAATCCGCAAAAAATTCCAACATAGTAAGAGAACCAAGAGAAGGAAAAGGGCAGTGTGTTTGAATCTGTACTGTCTTACCCATATGTTGTTGAAGAGCCCAAGAAGAGTTTGCACGACCAGAGATAATCTTTTCAACAGATGGTGGAAGTATCTTCCAATTAGAAAATTCCAAAGTAAAAATAAGGATGTCATCACTGACTGAGTCAACCCTGTATCAACAACATGGTAACAGGTCATCAAAAGCAAAATATTATCATATCTAGGGCATAGTACGAGAAGCAAATATCACACTCCTATTTTTACAAGAACTTGGTAAAAATTAACAAAAACAAAACCACAGAAAGTATCCATAAAACTATGGCAAGTTCCATAGACATTAATAATCTAAGATACTCCTAGAAATGAACTAAGCGCTGTGTGCAGCTCTCTAAGAGGCCTCACAAGACCCTCGTGAAGAGCAGGCTCCTTTTTTTAAATTGGGAAAAGCATCAATGTCTTGGGTGAACTTGCCGTTAAGCTCTCTTGCCAAATTTAGTCTGGCCATCCCCATAGACAAAGAATGATACAGAAAGGATAAAGCTCAAATACCTGCATTCACCAATAAGCTGTGTATACAAGACAGATGGTTCTCCCCAATGCTCCAGCCCCACCTCCATACCATTCCCAGGGATTGTGCAGCTGCTAAGAACTTTCTTCATTATAGATTCAGCCCTAAAGGGTGATCCAATATAACATTCAGCTTTAAGAATGGAAATATGAGTTCCATACTAATAGTTCTTCCTCTCTTCTTTCAGGAGGATTTCCTACCAATCTGCCCAGAAGAGCCTTCCCCAAGTGTTAGAAACACATGAAAACTAATAAATAAAACAGTAGCTTAAAGTAAGTCCCGATTTCTAAAACATCTCTGTTACTTAAATGTCTAATTCTTTACATAATACATAACTATTTCTGCAGACTTTGTAGAAATAATATTCAAGAATATAATAAACACAATTTAAAAAGTCTACAATATAGGCTGGGTGTTGATGGTGTACACCTTTAATCCCAGCACTTGGGAGACAGAGGCAGGCAGATCTCTGTGAGTTCCAGGACACCCTGGTCCACAGAATGAAAAGCTCCAAAGCTACACAGTGAAACCTGTCTCGAAAAACAAAAAGTTGAATATTAATAGAATATGAAAACTTCAGTATTATATCTTCCAGGAGAGATCACATCATTTACAGTCCAAACTTCAAGGGAATTCAAAACCCTAGCAAAATTACTGTCTAAGCTTAACTAGACAGTCTTATATCCTTTGAAGAAAAACAGGTCTACTATATTATTGTTAGTTCTCAAACCACACAAATGGTTAACCAAGGTGCCTATTTAACATATCAAAGCTGACTTTGTTGGCCAGTCTCTCTCAGTATTGCCAGAACCTGTTAATGAGACATCCTGGCTGGTATACCCCTCCACCTACCCTAAACTCTTCAGCCAAATGACTGTGCTAGGGCTCTTCTCCTAGCTTCTTTTCCCTATATAATCCAGCCATTTTTGCTACATTGGCCTCTTGGCTCCTGGCTCTCCTCTCTTCCTCCTTCTCTCTCCCTCCTTCCCACCCTTACATGACTCAGTTCAGTCAACGTCCATTCTGGACTCTCCCAGGTGACTCTACCTCAGCCTCTGCTCTCCCTTCTATCTGTAATAAAAACCCTCAACTCCTTAGGAGAAGTCATGTCCTCCTTTTATTTCTTTTCTTCATTCAACTCCTACAAAAATTTTTCTTTTCAAGTTCAATTTCTTCAGACATCCACTAGGGGACAACTGAAGGAAAAAAAAACAAAAACAAAAACAAAAACAAAAACACAGGAGCCAAGAAGTAAAAAAGTTCAATTGTGGGTTCCTCAGAAAGCATACTGAGAAAAGAAGGGGTGTAAAAAGGGAATCCTGGTTGTTCCCTGACCTCCACAAACACATGCACACTAATTAACATACAAACAGAAGGTGAAGAAACTAAATAATACTCTGAGCTTGTTTTCTGTATTTGAAAGTATACTTGAAATACACTGATTATAGAGTACAGAAACTGCTTTCAAATTAAAAAAAAAATCATGTGTGTCTGTGTTTGATAACTTGGGGGACTTGGCTCTCTTCTACCATGTAGGTCCCAAATCATCAGGCATATAGGCATGTGCTGAGTCACCTCACCTCCCAAATTCTTAATTCTTTGATATGCAAATACATAAGGAAACATTGAAAACAGCACAGTTGCCTAAAAAATAATTAGTTATCACTTCTCAGTAAAATGAAGGCTTATCAGAAAATAAATGACAAAATATACTCAAATACTCCCCTTGGTGTGTTAGAACTAAAAGTTTACTTGAATCTGCTTCCTTATTTCTGTTTTAAAGGTTTCATTTTTCTACCTTAATAAGCTTTAGGTCTCATTATGACAGAACACAAAGTCATTTTTATAGTTATTTGAACACGCTCAAGAAGTAAATCTGTGAATAGCTTTTGTTAATGCAATGGTGAGTTTATTTCACAATACTGATAACATGCCTGAAATTGCATTTTTATTGCCTACATTGACCATTACACACTACAGAGCAGTTGTGGTATCACAAGTCAGTGATAGTCCATCAATGGTGTTCACACTATTCTCCCATTAAAATACAGATAGAGGGAGTGACTTGCATTCATTGTTGGGAAATATTTCTACTCTGTAGATTATATTGTAACAGGCAATCAATTATTCAGACAGATACATTTTTAGAGGGCTTAAATCAAGCAGCATACTTACATGTGACATTAATAAACAACCGAAATCTGCTTTGATGTATTAGAATCTTTATGGAAGCCTTTCTCCTACAATAGTTCTTTGACTATAAACTTGATCAAAGAAGGTAAAACATTTATCATATTCAGTATAAAAACTGGCTTTACCCTTCCAATGAAAGATTAGTTAACAAAATTTGGCTATGTTAAGAATTTTCATTTCTAAAGTGAAAGTTTCCATTGTACTTTTTCTAGGAAATATAAGGTGACTCTTTAATAGTCATAGAAATATATGAACTGGCATTCTCAATTAAGAATGCTAAACTAAACAATTAGGTTGTTTATTTGGTTCTTAACATTTTCCTATTTTAACAAATTGAATAAACAGTGTACACACCAAGGATTTTTTGCCACAAAAATCCTCAGCTACTTATACATGGGGTAAGGAGACCATTGAATGAGGAAAAGGATAGTAAAAACTGTAGTACCTTGGGACTATAATCAATATTCCACACTCTCTAGTTAGCTAGAGAGCAAAGGATAACAGGCAACCTTTACTTCTTTTTGTCCCATAGGTTTTCCTAATTTAAGAGTAAGAAGGAACAAGAAAAGCTGTCATAAATTCCCATGTTTGGCAATGGATGGAAGTTTCTGATCTTTTTGAACTATTTTATTCCTATGGATGCATGAAAAAGTTAACGTAAAATGGTTAAGAACAGAGATATGAGACCCACACAGGTCACCCTGGAAACTCCAGGATATTACTGTTCAAAGCACTGGGCTTTTCAGATAGAGTCAGTTAATGGCTTCAGATGAAGAAGATTAAGAATGTGACTGAGGAAAAAGTGGATGTCCTGGAGACAGGCACCCACTGACGATGAGGATAAAGAGGAACAAACTGTCAGGGCTGTTCACAACTACCCATGTACTCTATCAAATTTGAACCACAGGTAGAAGGTGACTCCTAAAATAGTGAAGGGGATCTGCTGCTAGCAAGCCCAAGGAGAGCTAATCGTGAAATTCAGTAAGACATTAGTGGCATTTACATAACTCTGCTAATTACTAGATATAAATGGTATTCAAAAGTATTTTATACCTCACTAAATGCTTATGGGAAGGGAGAGCTGTTACGACAAACATGCAAAATTTTAAATAAGAGATGTCTCAATGAATTGTCAGTAATCTTTTCACTCAATTACCTTAAACATAGAGTTTTGCACAAATTAACATAGAATGAAAAAGAGAATGGCAACCAAGAGTATTCGACAGACAACTATGATGAGAGTACAATCAGAGTACAACCTATTAGGATCAGAAGGTTTATGTCACTTTGTACTGACTTCACTCTCCAAATCACTAACCAGGGAGCAGTCTCACTTCACTGGAAAGAGAGTGTCAGAGAGAGATGACAGTCCTAAGCAAAAAGCTTGATGAGAATTCCTAAATGCCAGGTAGTGGTACTGAGAAAGTGAGATACATTATCAAATACAGGCTTATTCTTCACATAAAGAGAGGTCATGGGTAGAAAGTAGAGTCCACAAAAATGCAAACTCAACTCACAAATAGGAAATGTTCCTCTGGAAACTGACTCTTGTTAGGCTAATGGATGTTTCACTAAAATTCTGCAAAATAACATGCTCTCTATTCAACTGGAGACTTTGGTTCTATTTTCTCATTTGACTTATCAGACGAAGAGGTTTTTTGCACATGCTATACTATAGGCATCTATCCCAAATAACAACTTTTGCTAAGGCTGGAAGTGGGTAGAAAAAAAAATCTTGTCACCACAGAATCCTGATGCAACATTCATACAATCTTTTATAAATGGCCAACCTGAGAAACAACCACAACTAAGTAAAGTATAGATAGCTTCAGATACTTCAAAAAACATTATGTAGTAAGGGAGACAAATTTCAGAAGACAAGCTGCTATAGTGCAGAAACATTCTGTCACAAACAAATTAAGAAAGGCATAAGAAAGTTAAGCATGGTAGTAAAGGCTTATAATTCCAGCACTCAGGAATCTGACACAGGAGTACTGTACACTCAAGACTAAGTCTGGGCTATTACGACTCTTGTCTCCATAATAAAAAGAGAGGCACAACAAATGGCCAAGAGTAGAAGAAATGTCCCTCAGGAAAGTACCCTGGAAGCTACTAACCATTTGCAGCCACTTCTTATAGACCTCCGTGCTTTAAGATCAATTTCTCTGTTTGTAGCTCTCAACCCTTTCATTCCAACATAGCTATAGTGGTCAGTATTCTCACACAACACAATTATGGCAGTGTACATGCACATACACACATGCATGCGCGCACGCACGCACACACACACACACACACACACACACACACACACACACACACACACACCCTACCCTTCTCCTAGCGCACAGATCTCAAGAACTGATGGCATGTTTGAGGCAGTATCATTATTAATGGGGAAGGCACACTAGAAAGATTTCTTACCAAGAGCTGCTGCACAGCAGAGTCAATGGGTCAAATCCAGCAAGCAGGAGATATGGCAGCCACTCTTTGTATTTTTTTTGTGCTTTAACTGCATAACTTATAAATTCAGATAGATGATTCCAAGGAGCCAACAGGCAAACTTTCTTCAAAAACCAGCGAAACACAGAAAACTTCTCATACTTCAGGCAGTATGCTAAGTGAAGTTCGTTTAACTGGGCTCCATACTTCAAAAGAATATTCACAGTTCCAAAGCAGTCACAGCTTCACCAAAAAGTAAAAGGAAATACAAAGAAGTTTAAAAGCTAGACTTCTACACAACAAACACTTCTTAACAAATTGCTAATAGCGGTTACAACTGCAAACAAGAATGGCAGTTGGGATATCCAGTGACTTTTACATGCAATGAGCTGAAATGAAGTAATGAGGAAGAAAACTTTCACATCTCAATCCCTCTGCACTATTATGATTTCAACTATAAGATTTTTAAATATCTTGACAAAGAAAACTTTAATTAAACTATAGTATTTGAACAAAAGCATTTCTCCTACAATTCTTTTTAAGTTAATGAACAACATGTTAAATCCCTGAATATTAATTCAGTCTAGAAACCTCCATGTTATATAGCCTTAGGCAATTTCCATTCTTTTAGACATGGCCGACACATATCATGCCCATCATACAGGAAAGCTTTTCTAATGAACATACTTTAACTTACACCTCTGCATTCTTAAAGTTAAACTTCCTTATCAAGCACTTCTATAGAATAAACATGTATAATTTTTATCTATTAAATTTATTGCTGAAAAAAGATCCAATACTGACAATTACACTGCAATTGACTGAAAGCAGGTGTGATCCTCATTTGAAAGAGCCACTTCACAAGCAGACACAGGTAGGGCTGTAAAGAGCACAAACCCTGGAATCACCTAGCTGTGTGACTCTAAGAGAGTTACTTCACTTTTCTGCTACTACACAAGTACTTATGAAACTAAATAAATGAAATACTCTACATGTTATAGCTACACATATTTAAATATGCTTATGTAAATAAATATAAAGTATATATAAGTATTAAAATTTCTACTTCTTATTCAGTAATATCTTTTGAAATTTGTCCAAAAGCTAAAATTCAAAATAAATTGCAGGCCATTTGTAAAATGTTATTAGCAGTATTCTCTGAAGCAGACTATAGAAAGAAACATCTTAAACATTCAACAACAAAGAATCAGGTAAATAAGCATAATATATTACAGCCATCGAAACCTGCAATTTTGAGTTACATGCTCATATTTTTAGAAATATTTACAATGTTAAGGTTAACAAAGAATAATAAGCATGTGTTCACTATGCACACAACTGAAAAAGAAGTTATATAAGGATAAAATTATTGCCCTTTGAACTTGGAATTATGTCATTATAAAGAAATATAAATGTTAGCCTATTTTCAATAATTATATAATACAAAATCTAGAAAAGATTAAGATTTTTATATTAAATAAATATAAAATGCTAAATTATAGACATGTGAGAATTACTTTTTTCTATTTTTAATTTTTTTATTTATTTAAATAAAAAACAAGTTTGCTTCACATGTCAATCCCAGCTCCCTCCCCCTCCCCACTTCCCACAACTCCGTCCCCACCAACCCCCCCATCCAATCAGGGAAGGTGACACCCTTCTTAGGGGAATCTCCAAAGTCTTCATATGGTCCAGGGCAAGGTCTACGCCCTCCCCCCATGAGTCCAGACTGACAGAGCATCTCTCCTTGTGGAATGGGCTCCCAAAGTCCATTCAGATGCCAGGGATAAATACTGATCTAGTACCCAAGACCTCAAAGCTTGCCATGACCTCCTCACTGACACCCACATTCAAGGGGTCTGGATCAGTCCCATGCTGGCCTCTCAGTCATCAGTCTGGGGTCCATGAGCTACCACTTGTTCATGTCAGCTGTGTCTATATGTTTCACCCACCTGATCATGACCCCTCCAGGGTGAGTTTGCTTCTTTTTGTTCTAGAGCTTTCAGTGTGCTGTTAATTCTCTAGTGTGACTATTCTCTAGTTTCTTCATATAACCACTTAGTGCTATGAACTTTCCTCTTAGTACTGCTTTCAAAGTGTCCCTTAAGTTTAGGTATATTTTGTCTTCATTTTCAATGAATTCTAGGATATCTTTAATTTCTTTATTTGTTCGTTGACACCCAGTAATGGTGCAACTGTGCCTGTGCGTTATTCAATTTCCATTAGTTTGTAGGGTTTCTGCAATTTTTGTTGTTGTTGTTGAATTCTAACTTTAAAGCATGGTGGTCTGATAAGGTACAAGGGGTTATTCCTATTTTTGTGTACCTACTGAGGTTTGCTATGTTGTCAAGTATGTGGTTGATTTTAGAGAAGGTCCCATGTGGCGCTGAGAAGAAGGTATATTCTTTTGTGTTTGGATGGAATGTTCTATAGATGTCTGTTAAACCCTATAGGGTCATAACTTCTGTTAGTTCCTTTTTTTCTTTGCTAAGTTTCTGTCTTGTGGTCTTGTCTAGTGGTGAGAGTGAGGTGTTGAAGTCTCTCACTATATCTATGTGAGGTCTTATGTGTGATTTGAGTTTTATTAATGTTTCTCTTATGAACATGGGTGCCTTTGTATTTGGGGCACAGATGTTCAGAATTGAGACTTCTTCCTGATGGGTTTTTCCTGTGATGAATATGAAATGGCTATCTTCATCTCTTTTGATTGATTTTAGTTTCAAGTCTAATTTGTTAGATACTAGCATAGCTACACCAGCTTGTTTCTTGGATCCATTTCATTGGAAAATCTTATCTCAACTCTTTACTCTGAGATAATGTCTGTCTTTGAAGTTGAGGTGTGTTTCTTATATGCAGCAGAAGGATGAATTCTGTCTTCATATCCATTGTGTTAGCCTGTGTCTTTTTAATTAAGACCATTAATACTGAGGAAGACTAAGGACCACTGACTGTTAATTCTTGCTTGTATTTTATTTGTTGGTGGTGGTATTATTGTTTGTGGATTTACTTTTTCTTTTGACTTTTGGTAAAGTTGGATTATCTATTGCCTATGTGTTTGTAAGCGTAGTAAGTTCCTTAGGTTGGAGTTTTCCTTCCATAACTTTCTGCAGGGCTGGGTTAGTGGATATGTATTGTTTAAATCTGGTTTTGTCATGGAATATCTTGTTTTCACCATCTATAGTGATTGAAGGCTTTGCTGGGTATAGTACTCTGGGCTGGCATCTGTGGTCTCTAAGTGTTGGTAGAACATCTATCCAGGACCTTCTGGCTTTCAGAGTTTCCATGGAGAAGCAGATGTAATTCTGATAGGTTTGCCTTTATATGCTACTTGGCCTTTTTCCTTTGCTGCTCTTAGTATTCTTTCTTTATTCTGTATGTTTGGGGTTTTGATTATTATGTCACAAGGGAACTTTTTTTTGTGGTCCACTCTATTTGGTGTTCTGTAGCCTTTTGTACTTTCATTGGCATGTCTTTCTTCAGGTTGGGAAAGTTTTCTTCTATAATTTTATTGAATATGTTTTCTGCACCTTTGAGGTGGGTTTCTTCCCCTTCTTCTACCCCTATTATTCTTAGATTTGGCCTTTTCACGGTGTCCCATATTTCCTGGATATTTTATGTTAGGGATTTGTTGGGCTTAAGATTTTCTTTGGTTGATGAATCTATTTCTCCTAGTGTGTCTTCAACGTCTCTCTTCCATTTCTTGTATTGTTGGTTATGCTTACATCTGTAGTTCCTGATCATATATTCACCTGTTCTAATTCCAGCATTCTTTCAGGCTGTGTTTTTTTTTTAATTGTTTCTATTTCAGCTTTCAACCCTTGCACTGTTTGGATTGTTTCTTGAAATTTTTTGGTTTGTCTTTTCTTCCATTTCTTTAAAGGATTTTCTCATTTCCTCTTTTAGGGCCTCTATCATCTTCATGAATTTGTTTTTAAGGTTGTTCTCTTCTGCTTCATCTGTGTTGGAATGTTTGGGCCTTGCTGGTGTAGAGTCCCTAGACTCTGGTGGCTTATCATATTGGTTTTTCTGTTGTAGAAAGTATTCTTATATTGTTGTCTTTCCATCCCTTCTTCCAGTGGGTACAGGTGGGGCCTCTTCCTTTCCTGGTAGGTACGGGTCCAAGGTTCTCTTCTGGTGGGTGCAAGCAGGTTCAATATGCTGATGGGTCTCACAGTAGGTGCAGGCAGGTCTGAGGCACTCCCACTCCTCTGCTCTAGAGATGAAAGGAACCTTAGTGCTCTATATGACCATGATTATTGCATGCCATTGAGCACAGTAAATTCTCAGTGTTAGGTAACCTTTGGTTAAAATATAAATAATATAGACAAATCTATACATTTCTCTTAAAATACATATTTCTATCTCAGGCCCTGATGAAACATTGGGGAAGCTCTTCATATCCTAGAGGGAGAAAAAGTCTATCCTGCAGACACAAACACCAAGAATTAACTGTGACATTTAGAGAAGTTCATTACATAAGCAGTGAACAATCTGAGGAAGTGAATAATCTGAGTAAGGAGAGAGATTTAAAAACTAAAGCCCAGTAAAAACCTTATTTGAAGGCTATTTTTTACTACTATGGTGTTTGGTGTTTAGGAATAGACAAAAATATGGTACTTACATAAAAGCACAATAAATAGAAAATTCCACATGAAACCAGGTTTACTTTAAACTTTAGAAATGGAAAACTTTAAACTTTAGAAATGGAAATCACTGGCATTTCATGTTCAATTAGTGAATAAAATATTTAACCATCTTATTAGCTAATTATCAAAATGCCATAGGGTTTTCAGCCATTGCCTAAAAATAAAATGAAAGCATTCAGCTTTGTCTAATGTGCCCACTGAAGAAAACTAGAATTGACACAATGACTTCTGTGATCCTAATGTTGTAAGAGCAGCCAGTATCGGGTGTTGGTGATGCACACCTTTAATCCCAGCACTCAGGAGGCAGAAGCAGGCAGATCTCAGTGAGTTCAATGCCAGCCTGGTCCACAAAGTGAGTTCCAGGACAGCCAGGACTGTTACACAGAGAAACCTTGTCTTAAAAAACCAATAGACAGATAGACAGACAGACAGACAGAGCGAACAGTATCATCAAGATACACAGACAAGCCGGGTGGTGGTGGCACACGCCTTTAATCCCAGCACTCAGGAGGCAGAGGCAGGCGGATCTCTGTGAGTTCGAGGCCAGGCTGGATCGACAGCCTCCAAAACAATACAGAGAAACCTTGTCTCGTAAAA